TGGAGCGAATCTGATAGATCCCTTGTGTGGGATGTCTTAAAACATAAATGTTATGGGGGGGTTGTCACGTATTCATATTAAATGCCATTTAGGATATTAATTGGAAAGGACTTCATCCAACTGTAACACAATCATCTTTCTGTTACTGATCAACTGTCCCTCTGCAGAAGTACTTCTGGGATACACTTTTTCTCAGTCAGAGGAAACGCTGCCTTCAGACCAGTTGATTCAGTGTAGCAACTGCAGGCTGGGCAGAGCTATACTAGGCTCCTTGCAAAGCTTTGAAACAGAAAAACCCTCAGCAAAGAAGGAGCTTCAGAATGAGGCTGCCTCTCTGTGCTACTCGTTAAGCAGTAAATAATTAAAACACCTTGAAAAAGACAGGTAAAATACAAGCTGCAATGTCAGTAACACAGACATGAAAGAGAAAGGGAAGAAAATGAATTTAAAAAAAAGGAGTGAAATAATTCATTTGAAGCTCTAATAAAGTTTCATTTGCGGTCTTGTTTAAAGATATATCAGGCTTTAGGGATGTAACCTAATTACATTTTTATTCTAAGTTCCATTCAAAGATCTTGGACTTTGATTCTTTAACACAGATCAAACATGGTATAATTTTCTCATGGCTATCAATACTTAAAAAGGATCTCTTCATTAAATACCATAAGGTCTTATGAATGTGTACACATCGTAGATGGAGAATAAACTGACACGACCCAAAAAGGGACAATTGTTTTATATAGAAATAGCAATGCTAATCCATTTGATTTTTTAAAAATTTAAATTATTAGATTCATTTATGTAGAAACGTAAAGTGACTCTAATATTGGGCTCGTTATTTGCATCTTTGAAAATGTATATGAGGAGCTGCTTTCTAAATTCATTTGTGGGATTTCTGCCAAAAAGGAAGCATGGGAAGAAGTAGCCAGAGGTTGACAGGTTTGTAGTCACCCAGAGATTGAAGGGGAGAGGTACTTTCCCAAGGACTGCGGTTTGCCTCAGACTCCCAGAGACCAGTGTATTAACGCCACCAATGATCAGATCAGACACATAGTTGACTGACTATTCCACCTCTTTACTAGGAAACCTGAATGCCTTAATGGTTTGCTTTTCCAGAGAGTCTTTTAGGGAGAGTTTCCTCAAAGGGACTTTTAATGGGGAACAGTAGAAGCAATTCACAAGTGGGGGAAAGTTGATACAAAGGGTTTCTTTAACTGAAGAGAGAAGAAATAATGTTCTCAACGAACTTGCTTAGTTGTACTAGCGGTGGGCCTAGGATTTATATACTCTAACAGGAAAACCTGCAGAGAACTTTGGGAGTTTTTGCCAGACTTGTTTTTGTTTGTTTTTTCTCTTTCAAATTTCTACAATATCATCCCTAAATTTATTTTTCAAAGTTAAACATTTAATAAGACCCTTTGTTACTTTAAAAGTCATTTTCTCTCAAATCTTCTTGTAAATAGAGAAGGCTTTATTGTTACAAATTTTAAAATGTGATTGCAATTTAAACAGAAAATGAGTTATTACTAATCACAATATACTTGTAAAAATTCTATTATTAACAAATAACAAAAATGTTATTGCCTCACAACTGTTAGTGTAGAAATAAAATACCAGGTTTAGAAAGACAAATAAATTTGTAATGTTCACTGTACTTAGGGTGACCAATCCATGCTAATTTACCAGGGACTTTCCATGTTCCAAACAAAGGTCACAAGTCCTGGAACTCCCTCAGTCACGGGCAAACTTGGATGACAGTCCTACCGCTGAACCAAAATACAAAAGAACATTGACAATATCATTCAATAAAGCAAAAGAAAATGCACTGTAGTTAGCAAAAGCAAAATGCAATGTACTTATTTTAAGGGCAAAAAATGTATCAGTGGAAATAACATACTGCAGGGAAAAGTCTTAAAATATTAAAAATGAGACCATCAATCACTCAAAATGTACTTAATTTGCTCGTTTCCTTCTATATCTTTACTGTATCCATTCACAGTTTTTGCAATTGTAAAGAACTGAGTATAATTTTGTGTTTATCAAGATTATTTTATTTAAACTACTTTTCATGTTGCATATTTTCCTAACTGCATTTTGAGAGGCTGTATATTGTTCTCTTACCTTCCAAAACCATTTACATGATTCACGATATTACCGGCAACACACATAAATGTTACTTTGTGGAAACACGATTATCATTGTTATTACTTGATAGTGGAAGAAGTGTTAAGTGGCACTTCACAATTATTCAAATTGATTTTTTAAAAGTTGCTTATTTTCCTATATACTCATTGTGTTTCCTCTGTGGTGAATTATCTGTATCCTTATGTATATAATTACAATTGACTTAACATTTTTCTTAACAACTGATGTATGCTTTACATAGAATATAGCTCTGAATTCTTTGTTATTATGCTGGGTATAAAGTTATTCTTTTCTTTCTTGCAATCCCCTGCCTTATAACTAAATAATGACGCTGTCTCTGTGTTGTGATGTCTGGAAGTCATCCTGGCTTTGTATTTATACAGCCAGCGCTCGCCTCAGTCTCCTCACTGAACTTGGTGCCTCCTAAACCTTCCCTGTTTCTAGTTTCCCCTAGCTGTGTAAGTCACTCTACATGCAATTAGTGACAACCAAATGCACACTTGGATTTCAGTACATGACAAAAGGCTTATTACTCAGTGGTACAAACTGTCCTGCTCCCACTGACTCAATTTACCAAGCTTTTTTCTCTTCAACTTTGCCTTCCATATCTGGAAGGCTATTACATTGGTTAACCTTGATGGAATTAGTTTTTAAAATTGCCTTCATAACAGCTCATCTAGATAATCTAGAAGGGTAATGCAGATTGAGTAACGAGGGACTTTGTCCCAGTGCTCAGTGAAGCAATAGGGTACTCACCTGCTGCCCCATGGGACACTTGGGCTCCCTTAGAGTGGAGGAAAAAGCATGAAGGCAAATGATATGATCATCAGGCAACTGAAAGAGGACACAGAAAGGGAGATAGGATTTTTTTTTCCTGATTTTCTCTGGGCCAGTCTAATTTCAGGAGCGTTTTCTTAAGATACGTGAAAGAAAAATAAACCAAGAAGGTTGACTTTGCAAGCTCTCTGCTAAGCAAATCTTAGTACACAGTGTTGGGTAGGGTAAGCAAAAATACCCAGTATCTCAAGACATAGGTATCTATGCTGGGTCTGACATGCTGTAGTCAATTAATATTAATCAGACTTTAAACAGGAGGAAACCCTGCAATATGTGATGAGAATGAACCTTAAGAACATCATACTAAATGAAACAAGCCAGTCACAAAAGGGCAAATACTGCCTGATTGCACTTATATGAGGAATCTAAAGTAGTCAAACTCACAGAAGCAAAGAATAAATGTTGGCTGCCAGGAGTAGGGAAAGAAGGCAGTGTGGGGAGTTGCAGAGAGACAGGACTAATACTGCAGTTATACAAGATGAGCCAGTTCTAGAGATCTCTACAATGCTATGCCCATAACAGCAATGATATATTATGAATTTAAAGACTTAAAAGTATAGAACTCAGATGGGCCTGACAGCACACTCCTGTAATCCCAACCCTCTGGGAGACTGAGGCAGGAATATCACAAGTTTGATCCAAGGCTGTGAGCACTGTAGCGGGATCCTGTTTCAAAATAAAACTTAAAGAAGTCTAGCTGGGGATGTAGTTCAGTGCAAATACAAAGGCCTTGAGTTGAATTTCTCATACCTCAACAAAGAAACAAAGAATAGATCTCATGTCAAGATTTCTTAACCATGATAAAGTAAAAATAAATTTTAAAAAAGATTTAAAAATTAAAAATTCAACTTCTCATAATCCTAGTTTCTGCCTCATCTTTAAAATGTAGATGACATCACTCCATTCATAAATGAGAAAGAACACTTTACTTTATATATCAATGTGCTTTCTTTCTCCACTCTACTGCCATTATATGCATTGCATATATATCAGATTTAAGTTTGTCTAAATGCTACCTTGAATCAGCTTGAAAAACCATGTGTAGAGAACTTATTTACATGTATTAAATATGATAGAGAAAGGGGAAAGGGATCTGACAAAGATTAAGAGCTCTGGATACAAATGTAGCCCTACTACTATGCTCATGGCAGAATCACTTAACTACAACATTTTCTTTCATTTTATTCATCTGTCAAATTAGCATCCAGACTAGAGTACTTTGAGGATCCTTTATGGCTCTCCAATTCATCCATATAAAAGAATGGAACATGTAATTTCCCAGTCCAGTTTTCAACAATTGAGAACTATTCCTTTATTTTTTAAATTCATCTTCATCTGTACTTCTATACAGATAAGCTTTCTCTGACCCTTCTTATAGGTACCCATTCTTTTGGCATCTTCTTCTTGGACATTAGTTTTTAGGGATCTTGAGCAATTATAAAAATTACTTATCAGAGAACAATCCTTGCTTCTTCTATTCCCCATCAAAGCTATTGCCCTTCCATGTATCAAGTCACTTGGGTGCAGTAGCCCAGCACCAAAAGGGAATAATAGGCATGTGCTGGAAGGCAGTGAAGCTCAGAGATAGGAGGGTGTGCTCTAAGAACCTAATTCCCACACAAAAGCCATCTTACCACTCAGATAGACAATGGGGAAGCTATGCATGGAGCAATGCCTCACCTCTGTGTATGTGTGATATTTGTAGAAAAAAGATGAGTAAATCTTGAACATGAGCAAGAGGCTTTGCTTCTTGATCAAAAGCACAAGCTCAAATGAAATAGCTGACAAGAAAGTTTTCCTGAATTGTTTTGTGGTAAGTGTGCAGGGTCTATGTAGACCAATGATGGGCACTTGGAGGAGATTCAGGAGTGGAGCAGGAGAAGGACAGGACCAAGGCAGAATGTCAGGAGTCAAAAGGACAAGGCAATAGGTGAGGGAACTGCCAGAGAAAGAAAAAGAAAAACACTAGAGACTAAGATGGAGCAGTTGGGTGGGATCCCAACAGTGAAAGTACTTACTCGTGCTGATGCCCATGGCTCCCCAAAATGGCGCCTCTGAGGACTTTCTCAGAGAACTCACTTGCACTCCTGTGAGAGGGACACTGTAATAGTGAGGAAGAACAGGAAAAGAGAAGCTGCCTTACTAAAGGCCTGAGGGCAAAGCCAACCATCCGACTCTTCAGTAATCCCTTTACTCCTAACAGGATGCTCTGGAGAATGAGAATTATTTTTTAACAATTAAAAGAGACAATATTAGGCTCCATCTCTGTTTTTCATGTGGGCATTATTTTCACACTCCACTAAGTCAGTAAGTGGACACAGAGTTTTTAATGACAGGTCCTTCAATAGCCATTTAACAGCCAGAGGAATCAGAGCTGGAAGTGAATTTAAAGCTGCTATCGTCTCCTTCAACCTCCTCATTTTAGAGATGAGGCGAGAAGAAGCACCATGATGAAATAACGTGCCTGGATTCACACAGTTTACCAGCAGTGGCAATGTTGACAGAGAACCTCAGTGTGCGGTCCAGTCAGAAGCCTTTTCTGCTGCTGCACTTCATCTCCAGTAAATGTCTGCCTTCAAGACCAAGGTAGTTGTTCACTGTCTACCAACTATCACTCACTGAACCCCTGAAACCTTCCTCCCATTTTTCTAGTGTTCCTGTAGGTGTGGGCTTCCTTTTCTACCTGGTAATCATTCACTGAATTTATGCATTTAATTAGCCTCATTCCCAGCCCCTACCACCTCAAAGTTTCCTAATTTGTTAAGAGGGTGATTGGATCTATAAGAGTACTTTCATCTTCATGATTCTCTCGTTAACAGTAAAAACCTTCTGTCCTTTTCCATACTTACTGAGTGCGTGGGGTGTGTATGTGTGTGTGCATGTGCACATGTGTTTAGCTAGTTAGGCTTCATCCAATTGAAAAATAATACAGATACAAAGTTACTAATTCTAACAGTAGAAACGTGCATATCATAGGAAATATGTCTCCCCATCACTCCACATCACCAATATCCTTTCCTAGAGGCTATCCCACTTGAGATTTTGTGTATTTCATGGGCTTTAAATCCCTTCAACAATGCTTATATCGCCATTAATTTTTAATAAGATGAAAGACAAAATAAAATACTACACTAAAAGTTGATATATCTTCTGCATGCCTTTTAGTTATTAAGGCTGTTTCCCTAATAAACTAGCAAATGTTATTCAAGACAAATAAGAAATTACAATAAGATTTCTATCAATTTTGATGTGACATCTTTGATTTTATTAAATTATTATATTTTTGCTATTTTTGAGAACTGAATATTGTGATAATCAACCTCCTTTCAAATGCTAAAGGATAAAAATAAAGTCACATTTATAATGGAATGAATGTAGGATAAAGTAAAAAGTCAAAAAGCTCGGAGAAGATTGTTTATATAGGATATTAAGAAGTTTTTGACAATCATCTTGTGTTGTTTTTAGATAATATTCAATCATAGTTGTTTTATATGCCAAGAGTTTAAAATGAAGGAACATTACATGCTTCATATATATATTGTGTCATATCACTCTATCATTGATACATTCTTTTCTTTTCCTAAAATAACATTTTTTCTTACCTAAGGAAATCATTGATACCATGTGGAATGCTGTGTTAGCTTTTAGGGGGCTTCCATAACAAAGTAGCATAAACTAGATGACTCACATAACAGAAATTTGTGTTCTCACAGTTGTGAAGCCTGGAACTCTGAAATCAAGATATCAGCAAAATTAATTTCTTCTGCAGACTATGACATAGAATCTGTCTCATGCCTCTGCCCTAGCTTCTGGCAGCCACAGACATTTCTTGATTTTAGAGGCATTTTTCATTTCTTTATATAACCTTTCCCCTGTGTATGTCTGTCTCCACATCCAAATTTCCCCTTTTTATAAGGTGAGAGTCATTGGATTAGGGTTCACCATAATAGCCTCATCTTAAATTTATCATCTGTAAAGAACCTATTTCTCACTAAGGTCACATTCATGGGTGCTGGAGGGTAAGAATTTGCCATTTTTCGTGGGTTCACAGTTTGGATCTGAAGCCCCTTACCCCCATCCCCAATGTTCATAGAGTGTGGTTGCCAGGCCATAGTGCTATTGGCAGGTGCTGGCACCTTTAGGAGGGAGGGCCTACTGGAAGGAAGTTAGGTCACTGAAGACAAGCTCTTGAAGGGTATATCGGGATGGGACCCTGCAGCCTTCCTCTCTTTCTCTTTGCTTCTCTGCCAGTATGGGAGGAATAACTCTACTCTACTACATGCTCCCCATCATGATGTTCTGCCTCATCACAGGCCCAAAACAATGGAGCCAACTGACCATGGACTGAAACCTCTGAAATTGTGAGTGAAAGTAAACCTTTCCTCCTTTTAAGTTGATTTTCATGGCTATTTTGTCATAGCAATGGAAATCTGAGCTAGCACAAACCCACAACAAATATGACTGGAGAAGTCCTCTGAAATGAAAAAGTAAAATCATGACCTATGTGTCCCGTAGTTGTCCTACCTTAGCAGTGAGAGGCGTCAGTACCAACTAGGGAGGAGAAGCAGAGTAAAGGCAGTGTGCAGACGGGGACAGGAGGCTGCAGGGTGGGTTGAAAAATGCCTTCCCCACCAAGCTACAAGAGAAACAGAATCACAGACATGGTTTCAAGTAACGTCCATGGGGAAGAACACTGCCAAGGCAAGTGCGGGATTAAAGAAGAGAGGCGATAGAGCAGGGTCAGATTGTACATAAGGAAAGTCTTAAGCTTCATTGCAGGATGTCTGCATTTGACAGGATGAGACCTGTGCTCTGCTTGGGCCTCAAAGCCTAACTCCTCAAATTGTTAAGCATCTTCCTTGGGATACAACTGTGGCCTCTGCAAGGTATAAGCAGTCACCAGGAAAGCTGCCAACAGAAGGAGCTTTGCTCCAACGGCCTGAAAGTTCTCTGGTTAATAGACACTCTGGTTTCATTCCCCCAGGTCAATGGGAATGGGTACACCTCACACGATTGTCTCTATTTTTTGTTTTTCTGTGATTTTGTTTTGTTTTTTGAGACCTGGTCTCCCTGTGTAGTTCAGGCTGGCCTTGAACCTACAGTGTAGCCCAGGCTGGCCTCAAAATCATGACATTCCTTTGGCCTCAGCCTTCCTAGGGCTGACAAGGTTGACTTTGGAGATTCCTTTCAATACTGAAGGATCCATTGGAAGGGAAGTCTAGTGAAGATGGGGTCTGATGGTCTGGCACAGATGACAGACTCAGAATAGGGAGTGGGTATAAAATCAGACAAAAGAGAAAGTGCAAGGGAGAGAACCAGGCTAACCATCACCAGGATGAAGAAGGCTACCAGAGGTTTATTTGTCAAACTTTGAGGTGTATGGGTGGAGCAGAGCTCAGAAACTCTACCCTGTAGGAGTCGCTCCTAATGGCTATGTTGAGGCCCAGATGTGCATCCTCATCAGTTCAGAAAAGGTGCAAATAATTTTTTACAATTAAAAAAAAGCCAATATATTTTGTTAAAAATGTATTAGCATTTGCAAGGCCCTGAGTTCTATTTCTGGCACAGTAAAAAAATAAATAAATATTAATTAATCTGCAAGATTTAATTTCCAATGAGGGAGGAAAAAACTGTAAGATTAGAGGAAGCAATTAAGCTTGAGCCTGTTTTATGATGATGAAAGCCCATAATTAATGTTGGTGTTTCCTTCTTTCCGTTTTGGGAGAAAAAGGTTTGGTTAAATCTCACTATTGTAACAGGGAGATCAGGTCTCAAAAAACAAAATGACATCACAGAATAACAAAAAATAGAGACAATCATGTGAGGTGTACCCATTCCCATTGGCGTGGAGAAATGAAACCATCAGCACAACATCAAGGTCTGGATGTTGGAGCAGCTGAGACTAAAATTCCTTGATAGAAAATGGAGTGGTGAGTAGAATTTCAGGGAATTTCACATTGAGGCTATTCCTTAATCTGGACAGATACCGGCATGGTTTGGGGCCACCAAATATTTCTACAGGCCATAGCAATACTGTTGCTCAGCCAAAGCATATAGTGCTGTGGTCTTGGTAGATACACTGGTAGTAATCCTATTTAAAGCTCTTCTTCACCAAGCGGGTCTATTTTGGGAATGTTCCCAGAGATTTAGAAGATGTTTTTAGTTGTACAAATTATTGCTTGGGTTACAGTTGAATTGGAAATGGGTGAGAGAAACACTCTCAGGCTGAATTGTCTTGCTAGTTGGACACCTCTGAGTTTTATGATAAGCATGTATAGGGAATTTGTTAAGTATTTTCATTTGACTGAGTTTCTGTGAGATCTATATGCAGTGTTCAGTGTTGATAACCATGGCCACTGTACCCATCCCATTATAAAACTCCAATAATATTTCTTCTAGAGTGGCTTACTGAGTTACCCTGGGGGGAGATTCCAAGAGACCTGAATTAAGGAAATTCAAGATTGAGTCAGCAAGCTCAAGTTTCCAGTATTATATTGCAATTTCAAGACCCATGATCAAGTATGGAGCCTTTTGCTCAGAGGAAACATTGGAAGATTCGGTCAGTCAAGGGGTCCACTATTTCCTCCTTTGTTTAGTTTTATTTTTCAGTGTTAGATGGTGGACCTAGGGTCTTGCACAGGGTTAGGTAAGCACTTTACCATCCCCAGTCTCTAGGTTTAGTATTGATGGCAATACTCATGGTATTACATTAGCCACATTAGCCACCTTTCTATCACTGCGACAAAATTCCTGTCATACATAAGTAAAAGGAGGAAAGGCTTATTTGGGCTCATAACGTCAGAAGTATCAGTCCATGGTAAGCTGGCTCCATTGCTTTAGGCCTGTGGAAAGGGAGAAGCATCATGGCAGCAGAGACTATGGTGGAAAGTTGTTCCCCTCATGGCAGTTGAGAAGTAGAGTGAGAAGAAAAGAGCCTGGAAGTGCTGACTTCCTGCTCTTATTTTTTGTCCCATCTGGTCTTCAAGCCTGTTAGATGGTGTCTCCCATAGTCAGGGCTGACAATGATACTCAGAGGTGAGTAGTCTTCCTGCCTCAAATTTCTGGCCTACAAGTAAGTCATCTCTGT